ACATTTGAGTTGTAACTTAAATCTAAAATTTCCAAAAAATATACCTGTGTTTTGTCATAATAGTTCAAACTATGATACACATTTGTTTATTAAAGAAATAGCTAAAAAATATGGTAAAATTGATTTAATAGCAAATACTGATGAAAAATATATCAATTATTCAGTTAATTCAGGATATGGTTATAAATTTGAAGATGATAAACCTAGAAAATTTGTAAAATTCTCATTTGTAGATAGTTTAGATTTATGACCTCATCAATTGACAAGTTAGCTAAAAATCTAAAATAATTTAAACACTTGACTAAATTTATAAAGAACATTGATATACTGTAATTGAAAAAGATGATGAAACATTTGAAATATTATCTTCTAAAGGTATATTTATTTCCTTATGAGTTTATAGATGATATTGAAAAATTAAATTATGATAAAATATTAGATAAAGCACAGTTTTATAGTTCTTTAACTGATGAAAATATTAGTGATGATGATTATAAATACTATATAAAAGTTTGGAACAAATTAAAAGTTAAAACATTAGGACATTATTCTAATTTGTACAATATTCAAGATGTGATGCTATTAGCTGATATATTGAAAATTTTAGATCAGTTTGTTTAAAGAACTATCAATTAGATCCTGCATATTATTTAAAATCACCATCATTAGCATGGGACTCTATGTTAAAATAAAAAAAAAATAGAATTAGAATTGATAAGCGATTATGATATGTATTCAATGATTGAAAAAGGTATAAGAGGTGGAATTTCTCAATGTGTTACAAGATATTGTAAATAAAATAACAGATATACTAAAAATTATGATTCTGATAAACCTGAAAATTATATGTTATATGTAGATGCAAACAATTTATATGGATGGGTCTTAAGTCAAAAACTACCATATAAAGATATTAAATGGATGAATCCAAATGTATATATAAATGATGAATAGAAAGAAACTATATTAGAATTAGATGAAAATGGTGATTATGGTTATATATTAGATCTTGATTTAGAATATCCAAAATAATTGCATGATAAACATACAGACTTACCTTTGGCTCCTGAACATTATAATAACAAGTAATGTACTACTTTATTTGATAAAAAAGACTATGTGGTTCATTCAAGAAACTTAAAATATTACTTAAAACAAGGTCTAGAATTAAAAAGAGTAAATCGAGTAATAGCATTTGATCAAGATAACTATATGGAAAAATATATAAAACTGAACACAAAATTAAGAGCTCAATCAAAATCAGACTTTGAAAAAGACTTCTTTAAGTTAATGAATAATTCCGTATTTGGCAAAACAATGGGAATGTAAGGAATAGATGTAATATAAAATTAGGTGATGAAGAATATTCATTAAAACAAGCTAAAAAAACCAAACTTTAAAACGTATAGTATATTTAATAAAAATTATATTGCTTCACATTTGATTAAAGAACAAGTTAAATTTGATAAACTAATATATGTTGGATTTTCAGTTTTAGAATTATCAAAGTTATTAATGTATGAATTTTACTATGATAAGCTAAAGAAATATGATCCAAATTCAAAATTATTATATATGGACACTGATAGTTATTTTGTGGAATTAGAGAAAGATCCTTATAAAATTATTAAAGAAAATATAAATGAGTTTGATACAAGTGATTATAAAAAAAGATCATGAGTGTTACACTGGAAAAAATAAAAAAACTAATTGGTAAATTTAAAGATGAGCTAAATGGTGAAATACTAGAAGAATATTATGGATTAAGATAAAAATTATATAGTTATGAATTTAACAATAAAAATCCTGTAAAATGTAAAGGTATCAAGAAAAGTGTTGTAAAAAAGACAATTAATATGAGTGATTTTAAGAAGTGCTTGTTTGATGATATAGAACAATATAGAACAATGACATGTATTAGAAGTTATAAACATGAATTGTATACTATTAGAATAAACAAATTAGCTTTGAGTAATAAGGATGATAAAATATTTGTATGTGAAAATAGAATTGATACATTAACTTGGGGGCATAAAAATATAATTTAAACATAAATAAATGTAAATAATAATCATACCAAAAGAATTAATTATTAATGAAAAAGATATAAAAATATTTAAATTTGATAGTAAACAATCAAACAATTATTTAGTTTAAGTATTAAAACAAAATTATTATTATTATTACCATGGAAGATTTGATAATATTAGAAATCGAAATATAGTTATACAATATATTAAAGAAATGTTAAGAGAAAATGATCAAAATGTACTTAACTGTTAAAGAATTGTTTATTATTAAAGATGAAATTTTTAATTTTTCTTCAAATTATAATGTTAATTGATTTTTTGTTTATATTCACCTGATCTTGTAATTGAAGGCAAAACTTCTTTAACAACCCAATCTTGCAATTTTTTAGCAAATTTCATTTTTTATTTCATAATTAATTAATATAAACCTGATTCATTAATAAAATTGTATTTTTTTCATTTTTAAAGGTATCTGATAGATACCTTTAGAATTTAAGGTCTCTAAATAATTTTATTATCATTATCAACATTTTTATAATTAATTGCTTGTTTAGAATTTTCATATTCTAATATATTACAAATATCTTTAGCTTTAAACCATGGATTATTTTGTTTATCAAATAGAATTAATACATTTTTATTTTTAAATATAAAATTATTAAATAAATCAATAGTTGTTATCATTATTTTAAACATAAGAAATTTAATTAAAGTATGAATACTAATTTTTAACTGTTACATAATTTTTTTAATATTTTTTTTTTACTTAAATCAAATAAACCTTATGAATACAAATATTATGTTTATATAATGATATGTAAATGTCAAAGAAGGTCTTTTAACAAAAAACTAGATAAATTAGGAGAATATTAAAAAAAATCTGAAGTAATATTATATTTGTCATACAATCCAAATTCAATCAATTTATACAATAAAATTAAAAACGTTTATAAAAATTAAATTAGTAATTATAGAAATTATTTTGATATTTATACAAATTATTCAGAAGAGATGCTCATAGAAAATATTAAAAAAAATTATGTAACAGTTAACAATTAGTATTCATACTTTAATTAAATTTCTTATGTTTAAAATAATGATAACAACTATTGATTTATTTAATAATTTTATATTTAAAAATAAAAATGTATTAATTCTATTTGATAAACAAAATAATCCATGGTTTAAAGCTAAAGATATTTGTAATATATTAGAATATGAAAATTCTAAACAAGCAATTAATTATAAAAATGTTGATAATGATAATAAAATTAATTTAGAGACATTAAATTCTAAAGGTATCCATCAGATACCTTTAAAAATAAAAAAAATACAATTTTATTAATGAATCAGGTTTATATTAATTAATTATGAAATCAAAAATGAAATTTGCTAAAAAAAATTGCAAGTCTGGGTCGTTAAAGAAGTTTTGCTTCAATTAGAAGATCAGGTGAATATAAACAAAAAAATCTATTAGCATTATAATTTGAAGAAAAATTAAAAATTTCATCTTTAAAAATAAACAGTTCATTAACATTTAAGTACATTTTGATCATTTTCTTTAAACATTTTTTTAATAAATTGTATAACTATATTTCGATTTCTAATATTATCAAATCTTCCATGGTAATAATAATAATAATTTTGTTTTAATACTTAAACTAAATAATTGTTTGATTGTTTACTATCAAATTTAAATATTTTTATATCTTTTTCATTATTAATTAATTCTTTTGGTATGATTATTATTTACATTTATTTATGTTTAAATTATATTTTTATGTCCCCAAGGTAATTTATCAATTCTATTTTCACATACAAATCTTTTATCATCATTATTACTCAAAGCTAATTTGTTTATTCTAATAGTATACAATTCGTCTTTATAACTTCTAATACATGTCATTGTTCTATATTGTTCTATATCATCAAACAAGCACTTCTTAAAATCACTCATATTAATTGTCTTATTTACAACACTTTTCTTGATACCTTTACATTTTACAGGATTTTTTTTGTTAAATTCATAACTATATAATTTTCATCTTAATCCACAATATTCTTCTAGTATTTCACCATTTAGCTCATCTTTAAATTTACCAATTAGTTTTTTATTTTTTCCAGTGTAACACTCATGATCTTTTTTATAATCACTTGTATCAAACTCATTTAATTTTCTTTAATAATTTTATAAGGATCTTTCTTTAATTACACAAAATAACTATCAGTGTCCATATATAATAATTTTGCATTTGGATCATATTTCTTTAGCTTATTATAGTAAAATTCATACATTAATAATTTTGATAATTCTAAAACTGAAAATCCAACATATATTAGTTTATCAAATTTAACTTGTTCTTTAATCAAATGTGAAGCAATATAATTTTTATTAAATATACTATACGTTTTTAAGTTTGGTTTTTTTAGCTTGTTTTAATGAATATTCTTCATCACCTAATTTTATATTACATCTATTCCTTACATTTCCCATTGTTTTGCCAAATACGGAATTGTTCATTAACTTAAAGAAGTCTTTTTCAAAGTCTGATTTTGATTGAGCTCTTAATTTTGTGTTCAGTTTTATATATATTTTTTTCCATATAGTTATCTTGATAAAATGCTATTACTCGATTTACTCTTTTTAATTCTAGACCTTGTTTTAAGTAATATTTTAAGTTTCTTGAATGAACCACATAGTCTTTTTTATCAAATAAGGGAGGGGCAAGGAGGGCGCACCCTACTACGGCTCATTGACTTGGGTTGAGCATTGGAAATGTAACTTCACTTTATGTTTATTTCCATCAATGTTTGTTTATAGTGTTAGAAGGATTGTCACTGCTTTCTTTTGGTGAAATACTGAGACATCTTTTGAGTAAAAAAAATGGCCAATAAGAATGCAATAACACACGATAGACGAATACAAAAGAATAATGATTATTTGTAGTAGTGTGTTATGATTAACGTTACCACTCTTGTACAGCTGGAAAGCGATGTCGTTTGTAACGATGACGGCAGTCATAGGTCCATGATGAGCCACATCACGTAGCAAATTCAGGTCAGTAGGATTATTATACAAATTTTGAAAGCCTGAGATAGTGGCTCCAATGTTCGTAGCATTGTATCTGCAATCACCTACCTGAAAAGTTAAGGTTAGATTAATATACCTAATATCCAATATTCCTACATCGTACATAGTGGTAAAAAACTAAAGGTATTTTTTGGCTGGGAGCCAACTTAACCAATGTACATGCGCCGTTCTACCGGAGTCCGAAGGCCTCCTGCCTAGATTACATTAAGAGATTACATTAAAAAAAGATGGAGTGAATGTTATTTTATGTGATTTCTATTGTACTGTCAAATATTTCATCAGGTGTTTTATTTAAGATTGTTTTTGTTTAGGTATGTAATGTTTACAGTTTTGTGTTAATTCTCTCATTTAAAATGTAGCATACTTTTAAGTTGAATAAAACCATATAAATTTGGTTTCTGAACATTTCTTTTTTAAACACAAATAAGACTAATCTACTATTCCACTCTATAACTATGTTCTTTACACGTTCAGAAAATGCATAACTATTGTTTACATTATACAGGGTGTGGCAAAAACTATATATTTTCTTTAGCGCACTGTTCAGCGACAGGCCGTCTGAGGTAAGTGAAGTAGGCTCGTTGGAAAGCCTACACAATGCAATTTTCTTAGTCATAGAGCTGGTCGTATGAGTTAAGTGTCGTTGTTATCAAGTCGTTAAAAAAATTAAGAATCGGTCATAAAAACTTATGAAAGGGTCATAAAAATTATAAATTAGGTTGATAAAGAATTTTACAGTGTTGCTTAGTTTTTACAATTTAAATCGTGTGTACCTTTAAAAGTTTGTATCTTTATTTTAATGGGTCCGATTTTAGTACCTAGTTTAGTTTTAGTGACTACAATTTGTACCTCCGTGTACAATTTGTATTACTAGAGTTGCTTTCAGAGAAGTGAAAGCCAGTTAAGCGGAACAAACGTGATTTGATATTTGTATAAGTAACTAAATGTAAAAACGTCAAGAGATGTACTAATGCTTGTTTTATTGATTAAAATTATAATAATTCAAATTTAGTTTTGTTTACTACATCTTGTTATGCTGGATGCTCTGGAGAACACCTTCCACGTGCCGGCATACCTCATGCGCATTATAGAGGATTATCTCCGGTTTCGCCTCCTAACGTATGACACTGCGGAGGGCCCGCGGACGATGAGTGTCACTTCTGGTGCTGCCCAAGGTTCCATACTCGGCCCAGACCTCTGGAACGTCGCTTATGACAGCCTTCTGAGGTCTGAAATGCCTGAGGAAACAGTCTTGGTTGGGTACGCAGACGACGTTGCAGCTTTGATAGCTGCACGTAGCGTTGATCTGGCTCAGCTAAAGCTAAACCGAGTTATGCGTACCATAAACGCATGGATGGCAGACCACGGTCTCTCGCTTGCTCTGAGCAAAACCGAGATCGTGATTTTGACAAAAAAACGGATTGACACCATCGTGCCGTTGAGGGTGGGAGCGGTCGAGGTTCAAACTGTTCGTTCTGCCAAGTATCTTAGGGTCATGGTAGACAGCAAGCTTAGCTGGCGGGATCAGATCTTTCGTACAGCGGACAAGGCCGCTAGGGTGGTTTCTTCTCTTAGCCGGTTGATGGCCAATGTCGGAGGGCCTCGGTCCAGTCGTAGAAGGCTGTTAATGTCTTCGGTCCAGTCCGTACTCTTGTACGGTGCGGAGGTGTGGGCAGACGCACTAAATAAGGAGGCATACAGGATGCGGCTCGCCCGAGTGCAGCGTCAGGCAGCACTGAGGGTAGCATCTGCCTACCGAACAGTGTCCGAGCCCGCCGTCCTGGTGATTGCTGGAGTCATCCCCGTCAAACTTTTGGCGGCGGAGAGAAAGGCAATTTACCGGCGCCGTGGGGAGGACGAGGCACGAACAGAGGAACGCACCCGCACCTACCAGCTGTGGCAGGAGGGCTGGGAACAGGAGACACGGGGACTCTGGACCAGGCGACTGATACAGCAAGTCCAACCTTGGGTTGATCGGCGGTACGGAGAGGTGGACTTCTACCTCAACCAATTTCTGACGGGACACGGCTTTTTCCGGTCGTACCTGTTCAGGATGGGCAAAGCCGTGTCACCCGACTGCATATACTGCCCAGGCATTCTCGATGACGTGGAACATACATTTTTCCACTTCCAGCGCTGGGAAAGGCCCCGCCTGGAGGCTCAACAATTAATAGGACTGCTGTCGGTGGACACGGTCATACCGATTATGACGGAGGGTGAGGACAATTGGACCTGTGTGTCACATTATATCCAGGGTATTCTCCGCGCCAAGAAGATCGACCTTGACCGGGATGCGGTTGTTGGTCATTAAGAATCGAAATGCCAGAAACGGTGCGAGCCCTGAGGGCTTAGGTCACATGTTGGCCTGACTTGAAGTAATGTGACAAACAATTCCAGGTCTGTGTCCAACAGAGTAGAGGGGGTTTTTTTGTGAGTAGTCTGACAATTTTCAGGAGTCTCACACTACAGGCCACCTGTGGCTACCTGTGTGCGTAAAAGCATTTTCCCTCCTCTCCCTAAAAAAAAAAAAAAAAAAAAAAAAACTACATCTTGTTATACAGACAACTCTTCTGGGGTTGTTTTAACTAGGAAAATATCACATCAGTTGGAATCTGATATTAGCATCCAAAAAGGGCTTTTAAGTATAAAAAAGATAAAGGAAATTTAACATTTAAATTCAACAGTAGCCTACAACGAAAACATTGTACTTAATTTTTCACCATTACAATCAGTTAAAGTATTTAAGTATAAAAAACAGTAACTATTAAACGAACGAGTACTGAAATATAAAAACAGGAGGGAAAATTTGACATTTAAATTCAACTGTGCAACATAAACATTTGTCTTCATTTCAACCCTTGCAATCGGTTAAACTCAGCTTCCTTTGTGGAAATAATTTATGATTGTTAATACCAAGTATTCTTGATGGAGGATTTGAATTTAATATAACTGGAATGTAGGTCTTCTACCAATATTGGGACGATTTAGAGACGGCATTTTTAATACTGTCCTTAATAAAAGCAATTGACTATTGGATACAGAAGATTTTGATGAAAAAACTGGCTACAAATTTAACATGGAGATGAAATGTCTAGTTGTATTGATAGTCAAAGATAAAACATAGGCCTTCGAAAAATGTAGGGCTATTTTATGTAAGACTCAAATGTAAAACACCTTTAAAAGACTGAAATTGACAAAATTATCAATCATGTGTTACAATGTGTAAAAACTGCAAAAAGACTAACTTATTGAACAATAAATTAAGATGACTGAAATGTAGGCCTAAACTTAAGTAATAAGTAAACATCGCATCCAGCTGATTTAAGTGAAAAACTGAATAATAATAAGAAGGGAAGACATGCCTTAAATATACAATGTAGATTTGGTCTCCAATTACGTCATCGTATTTTGTCACATCAAAGGCCTAATCTAAACAAACCAAATTAATCTGCCTAATTCAGAAGTTTCCTTACATTTTTTAGCATATTTTGCGTTGTTCATTGGACTTTTAAAGTATATTTTTATTTATCCACGCTGTAATAATAGTTCTGCGTCATAAACATATTATTTCTTCAATTGATTGTTACGTCAATCACATACAGGGTGAATTTTAAATGAGTCCCCCCCCCCTACTTTTTTCTACATTTCTTAAGATATCAACTTCGGACTACGTCAGATCATTGTAGTGTAGTAATTACTTCATTTTGATAGGGTAAACATTTTTGGCCGCCATCTTGGATCGGCCATATTGGATACAAAATTTTTTTTCAAACGTAAAGGTAGGGTTGTGACCTATTGTTTCAAACTAGAATTTTACGCTGATTACAATGCCGCAATTAGTTTTTAAACATCTTGATCCGTTCTAAAGTTATGAGGACGTTTTATACCTTTATTTTTAGCCCATTTTATCATTGTGCATTTACAAACTAAGACCATAATCTCAAAATAGTGCTAGATAAAGATAAGTATACACCAGCATTCATTGTCGACCTATTATCACTTGATTATGACGGATGTATTTTTTTCGGCCACCATCTTGGATCTGCCATTTTGAAATGTGACAAATTAATTTAAATATGAAGGTGGTGTTGTGACCTATCATTTTAGACTACTTTTTTATACTGAATTCAATGCTGCAATCTGTTTTGCATATTTGTGTTTAGAAATATTGGAAATTTGAGTAAGATAATTTTAATATTTCATCAAGAAAGCCTGAGAGACAAAAACGGATTGCGGCATTGAGTTCAGCATAAAAAAGTAGTTTAACATGATGGGTCACAACACCACCTTCATATTTAAATTAATTTATCACATTTCAAATGGCAGATCCAAGATGGTGGCCAAAAAAAATACATCCGTCATAATCAAGTGATAATAGGTCGACAATGAATGCTGGTGTATACTTATCTTTATCTAGCACTATTTTGAGATTATGGTCTTAGTTTGTAAATGCACAATGTTAAAATGGGCTAAAAATAAAGATATAAAACGTCCTCATAACTTTAGAACGGATCAAGATTTTTAAAAACTAATTGTGGCATTGTAATCAGCGTAAAATTCTAGTTTGAAACAATAGGTCACAACCTTCCCTTGACTTTTGAAAAAAAAAATTTGTATCCAATATGGCCGATCCAAGATGGCGGCCAAAAATGTTTACCCTATCAAATTGAAGTAATTACTACACTACAATGATCTGACGTGGTCCGAAGTTGATATCTTAAGAAATGTAGAAAAAAGTAGGGGGGGAACTCATTTAAAATTCACCCTGTATACTCACCGCCTTCATTAGAAGCTTGGCAACATTCGGGAGGGAGGGTTGAACTAGTGGCTAATGCTACTTAACCAATAGTAGCCTCAGCGACAGCCATCTTCTAATAATTTCTGGTGACACTTCTCCCGATATTGGCGAATGGAAAATACTGTAGTAAGCGACTAAGCGTTGTGGCCGGTCCCGGCTGTTTGCCATTTTAGAACCGAATAGATTGTGGTACAGTGAATAAATTAATTAAATATTATGTAAGTTATATCCCTAATAATGAATGATAGCA